CACAGCACGGCTGATGAGGAACCGACTTAAGGATCTTATCAGGTTCCCTCTTGAAGACAATTTAGTGCTTGTAATTCCAATTATGTTTATGTTTCTTGTTCATACTGGAGTACTAGGAATTAATTATCTAGAAGGCTGTGTTCTGAATTAAGGTTTATTAAGGTCAATGCGTGGTGAGTTAATCAAGTGAATGGCATAGTAATCAAGAACAGATCTAATAAAAAATATGTAGAACAGTCTTGATGCCAATGCACGCTCCTACGTGTGTCTTGATGCCAGTGTTCACTCCTACGAGTCTTGATGCCAGTGATCCTTCCTGCATGTGTCTTGATGCCAGTGTTCACTCCTACGTGTCTTGATGATAGTGTTCCCGTCTACGTGAGCCTTGATGCCAGTGTTCCCTCCTGAGTGTGTCTTGATGCCAGTGTTGACTCCTACGTGCGTCTAAATGCCAGTGTTCACTCCTACATGTGTCTTGACGCAAGTGTTCACTCCTATGTGTGTCTTGATGCCAGTGTTCACTCCTACGTGTCTTGATGCCAGTGTTCATTATTACGTGTCTTGACGCCAGTGTTTCTTCCTACATGTGTTTTGACGCCAGTGTTCACTCCTACGTGTGTCTTCATACCAGTGTTCCCTCCTACGTGTGTCTTGATACCAGTGTTCCCTCCTACGTGTCTTGATACCAGTGTTCCCTCCTACGTGTCTTGATGCCAGTGTTCCATCCTACGTGTGTCTTGATGCCAGTGTTCCCTCCTACGTGTGTCTTGATGCCAGTGTTCTCTCCTACGTGTGCCTTGATACCAGTGTTCCCTCCTACGTGTGTCTTGATGCCAGTGTTCACTCCTACGTGTGTCTTGATGTCAGTGTTCCCTTCTACGTGTGTCTTGATGCCAGTGTTCTCTCCTACGTGTGCCTTGATACCAGTGTTCTCTCCTACGTGTCTTGATGCCAGTGTTCCCTCCTACGTGTGTCTTGATACCAGTGTTCCCTCCTACGTGTCTTGATGCCAGTGTTCCCTCCTACGTGTGTCTTGATGCCAGTGTTCACTCCTACGTGTGTCTTGATGACAGTGTTCCCTTCTACGTGTGCCTTGATGCCAGTGTTCCCTCCTACGTGTGTTTTGATGCCAGTGTTCACTCCTACTTGTGTCTTGATGCCAGTGTTCCCTCCTACGTGTGTCTTGATGCCAGTGTTCCCTCCTACGTGTCTTGATGCCAGTGTTCCCTTCTACGTGTGTCTTGATGCCAGTGTTCTCTCCTACGTGTGCCTTGATACCAGTGTTCCCTCCTACGTGTCTTGATGCCAGTGTTCCCTCCTGCGTGTGCCTTGATGCCAGTGTTCACTCCTACGCGTGTCTTGATGCCAGTGTTCCCTCCTACGTGTGTCTTGATGCCAGTGTTCACTCCTACGTGTGTCTTGATGCCAGTGTTCCCTCCTACGTGTCTTGATGCCAGTGTTCCCTCCTACGTGTGTCTTGATGCCAGTGTTCACTCCTACGTGTGTCTTGATGCCAGTGTTCCCTCCTACGTGTGTCTTGATGCCAGCGTTCACTCCTACGCGTGTCTTGATGCCAGTGTTCACTCCTACGTGTGTCTTGATGCCAGTGTTCCCTCCTACGTGTGCCTTGATACCAGTGTTCTCTCCTACGTGTCTTGATGCCAGTGTTCCCTCCTGCGTGTGTCTTGATGCCAGTGTTCCCTCCTACGTGTGTCTTGATGCCAGTGTTCACTCCTACGTGTGTCTTGATGCCAGTGTTCACTCCTACGTGTGTCTTGATGCCAGTGTTCCCTCCTACGTGTGTCTTGATGCCAGTGTTCACTCCTACGTGTGTCTTGATGCCAGTGTTCACTCCTACGTGTGTCTTGATACCAGTGTTCCCTCCTACGTGTGTCTTGATGCCAGTGTTCACTCCTACGTGTCTTGATGCCAGTGTTCACTCCTACGTGTGTCTTGATGCCAGTGTTCACTCCTACGTGTCTTGATGCCAGTGTTCACTCCTACGGTGTCTTGATGACAGTGTTCACTCCTACGTGTGTCTTGATGCCAGTGTTCACTCCTACGTGTGTCTTGATGCCAGTGTTCACTCCTACGTGTGTCTTGATGCCAGTGTTCACTCCTACGTGTCTTGATGCCAGTGTTCACTCCTACGTGTCTTGATGCCAGTGTTCACTCCTACTTGTGTCTTGATGCCAGTGTTCCCTCCTACGTGTGTCTTGATGCCAGTGTTCCCTCCTACGTGTGTCTTGATGCCAGTGTTTCCTCCTACGTGTGTCTTGATGCCAGTGTTCCCTCCTACGTGTGTCTTGATGCCAGTGTTACTTCTACGTGTGTCTTGATGCCAGTGTTCACTCCTACGTGTGTCTTGATGACAGTGTTCCCTCCTACGTGTGTCTTGATTACAGTGTTCTCTCCTACGTGTGTCTTGATGCCAGTGTTCCCTCCTACGTGTGTCTTGATGCCTGTGTTCCCTCCTGCGTGTGTCTTGATACCAGAGTTCACTCCTACGTGCCTTGATGCCAGTGTTCCCTTTTGAGTGCCTTGATGCCAGTGCTCCCATCTACGTGTCTTGATGCCAGTGTTCATTCCTGTGTGTCTTGATACCAGTATTCACTCCAGGGTGTCTTGATGTCAGTGCTCCCTCCTGCGTGTCTTGATGCCAGTGCTCCCTCCTACGTGTTTTGATGTCAGTGTTCATTCCTGTGTGTCTCTTGATACCAGTATTCACTCCTGAGTGTCTTGATACCAGTGTTCACTCCTGAGTGTTTTGATGCCAGTTTTCCCTCTTGCGTGTCTTGATGACAGTGCTCCCTCCTGCGTGTCTTGATGCCAGTGCTCCCTCCTGCGTGTCTTGATGCCAGTGCTCCCTCCTACGTGTTTTGATGTCAGTGTTCATTCCTTTGTGTCTCTTGATACCAGTTTTCACTCCTGAGTGTCTTGATACCAGTGTTCACTCCTGAGTGTTTTGATGCCAGTTTTCCCTCTTGCGTGTCTTGATGCCAGTGCTCCCTCCTGCGTGTATTGATGCCAGTGCTCCCTCCTGCGTGTCTTGATGCCAGTGCTCCCTCCTGCGTGTCTTGATGCCAGTGCTCCCTCGTACGTGTATTGATGCCAGTGCTCCCTCCTGCGTGTCTTGATGCCAGTGCTCCCTCCTACGTGTATTGATGCCAGTGCTCCCTCCTGCGTGTCTTGATGCCAGTGCTCCCTCCTGCGTGTCTTGATGTCAGTGCTCCCTCTTACGTGTGTTTTAAGTGTTTGTCTTGTACTGTTTATATCACTACGTATTTATGTGATTCACAGAGTTCAGAATTAGTCATGTAAGGATGGTACACTCTTAATGAAGACATTTTAATGTAAGACTCTGGTTTAACAGTTAAGAGGGCGTTGAGTGGGAGGGATGGAGGTGCTACAACACAAAAGGCAGCCACTAGAGGGGTCGATGAGAGTGTTAAGTGAGGGGCAATTGAGATGCCCCAAGACAAAGCTTACCACTGAGAGGGACGAGAGGGGGATGAGGAGTGGGCGAGTTAAAGTCAACAGAAAGCTCATCATCACTCCACCTTTCCTCTGTTCATTTATTGCTTTACATATCATGTAAAATATTCAAAGCATTTATTTTTAAGCCACACTGGAAAAGTATGAGCATGAGTCTGTAAGTCATCTACCGGCAGGTGAAGCACACACCTCAGTGATCTCCCGCACCCCCAGACCCTGCATGTGAAGCACACACCTCAGTGATCTCCCGCACCCCCAGACCCTGCATGTGAAGCACACACCTCAGTGTTCTCCCGACCCCCAGACCCTGCATGTGAAGCACACACCTCAGTGTTCTGTCCCGACCAGACCCTGCAGTGAACACACACCTCAGTGTTCTCCCGACCCCCCAGACCCTGCATGTGAAGCACACACCTCAGTGTTCTCCCGACCCCCAGACCCTGCATGTGAAGCACACACCTCAGTGTTCTCCCGACCCCCAGACCCTGCATGTGAAGCACACACCTCAGTGTTCTCCCGCACCCCCAGACCCTGCATGTGAAGCACACACCTCAGTGTTCTCCCGACCCCCAGACCCTGCATGTGAAGCACACACCTCAGTGTTCTCCCGACCCCCAGACCCTGCATGTGAAGCACACACCTCAGTGTTCTCCCGACCCCCCAGACCCTGCAGGTGAAGCACACACCTCAGTGTTCTCCCGCACCCCCAGACCCTGCATGTGAAGCACACACCTCAGTGTTCTCCCGACCCCCAGACCCTGCATGTGAAGCACACACCTCAGTGTTCTCCCGACCCCCCAGACCCTGCAGGTGAAGCACACACCTCAGTGTTCTCCCGACCCCCAGACCCTGCATGTGAAGCACACACCCAGTGTTCTCCCGACCCCCCAGACCCTGCATGTGAAGCACACACCTCAGTGTTCTCCCGACCCCCAGACCCTGCATGTGAAGCACACACCTCAGTGTTCTCCCGACCCCCCAGACCCTGCATGTGAAGCACACACTCAGTGTTCTCCCGACCCCCAGACCCTGCATGTGAAGCACACACCTCAGTGTTCTCCCCGACCCCCCAGACCTGCATGTGAAGCACACACCTCAGTGTTCTCCCGACCCCCCAGACCCTGCATGTGAAGCACACACCTCAGTGTTCTCCCGACCCCCCAGACCCTGCATGTGAAGCACACACCTCAGTGTTCTCCCGACCCCCCAGACCCTGCAGGTGAAGCACCTCAATGTTCTGGCAGACATCCAGGGGAAATAATTATGTAAATGAGTCAGAAATCTCCAAATCTGCTGAAAGTCATATTATGGAGAAAACACCTGTTTAAGAAACTTCAGACCTGCTGGTGGGAATATCCTGGACAAAATGTCCAGAAATAAGAAACTCGAGACCTACTGGTGATGATATTCGATACAAACAATCTGCTGGAGAAAATCAGGTGTTAAGTGGCAAATATAAACACACTGCAGTGTAGCCACTGACGATGATACAAGGTACCACTGACCTGGCAGGAAGCAGGAACCATGTAGAGGACGGCCACGACGCCCACTCTAGCGACGGTGACGTCCACACGATCAGTCTTCATGCCCTCCTGACGGAGGCGCGACCGTGCCTTCCAAAGACAGGCGAACACCACCAGCACCAGTGTGGCACCCGTCACCAAGTACAGGAATTGTGGCACTAACACAAACCGCACAAGTGTCTCTGTATTCTGCTGCCCCGCGTAACAAGTGCCTGAGGAACAAGCAAGGAACTCACAGTTAATAATAATAATAATAATAATAATAATAATAATAATAATAATAATAATAATAATAATAATAATAATAATACATTCTGTATTAGGAATAGATAAATTGGAAATGAAGTTAAGTTCCATATTGACCAGAATAATGAGTGAATTTTTGGTGAGTGAATATTTGATAATGATTACTTGATAATGATCCAAAACTTGATAATTATCTAGCACTTGCTAATGATCAAACAAGAGCTTGATAATGATCCAGGATATAATAATGATGCAAGAAATGATAATGATTCATGACATGATAATGATCCAAGATAGGACAATGATCCATGACATGATAATGATCCAGGACATGATAATGATCCAGGACATGATAATGATCCAGGACATGATAATGATCCAGGACAGACAGGAATGTATACTTTTCCTCTGCAGTTTGGACTCTTGTGAGAGAACCATGGCAACACACACAGTGTCTCTCACCAGAAATCTAAAGCCAAGACAACTGTACCTGAGTGTGAGCACTAAGGCAGACAAGTTACTTCTAATTATATCCAGAAGTATAAGTAACAGGAGTCCAAAAGTTATGTTACAGTTCATTACATCACTAGTGACGTCTCACTTGGATTATGACGCTCAGTTTTGGTCACCATATTATATAATGAATATAAATGCATTGGGAACACAAAGAGAAGAATGACAAAATTAACCCACTGCATAAGGAACCTCTCATTTCAGGACAGAATGAGACCCTTGAACCTTCACTCTCTTTGAGAGACGCAGAATGAGGGGAGTCATCACTGAAGTATATAAGTGGATGATGAGTATAAACAAAGGCGATATAAAGTACTGAGGATATCGAATGAAGAAAGAACTCGAAATAATGAATTTAAATTAGATATATTTAGAATTAGAAAAGACGTAGAAAAGTACTGTTTGCAAAGATAGTTGTTGATGAGTGCAACAATCTGCCAAGTGGGGTCATGAAAACTAAAACCTTGGGTAGCTTTAAAAAAAATAGGTTAGAGAAAAAATATGATTATGAACTATGAGCGAGTCGTGACTGTTCGATTGATAAGGGTGAAAATGAAGTGGAGAATGAATTGCAAGACAAGAATATGAAATATCATTACCACCCGAAGCACACTTTTGTTATATGTTTCAGTGGGAAAGAAGATCGAGTGATTGTAATAAAATAGAGTCAGAAACAGAAATTTCAACTGTAAAATGTACTTGTTGTGGTTGTTGTAAACAATACATAGGATGGAGAGGGAACTGGGAGAGAAACATTTAGACTCTCCCTGATTACCTCTGATGGTCTACAGTAATGTTACCATTATTAGTGACAAGTAATACAGTGGCTACAGAAAGTAAAGATGTGTGGTGGCAGCAGTTAAATAGTAAAGTGATAAGAAATTTTTGAGTAACTGTAGTTGATAAATGTTGGAGAGCAGTGAGTGTACGGGTAATAAATGTTGGAGAGCAGTGAGTGTATGGGTAATAAATGTTGGAGAGCAGTGAGTGTACGGGTAATAAAGTTTGGAGAGCAGTGAGTGTATGGGTAATAAATGTTGGAGAGCAGTGAGTGTACGGGTAATAAATGTTGGAGAGCAGTGAGTGTATGGGTAATAAATGTTGGAGAGCAGTGAGTGTACGGGTAATAAATGTTGGAGAGCAGTGAGTGTACGGGTAATAAATGTTGGAGAGCAGTGAGTGTACGGGTAATAAATGTTGGAGAGCAGTGAGTGTACGGGTAATAAATGTTGGAGAGCAGTGAGTGTACGGGTAAGAAATGTTGGGGTAATAAAGTGATGGTAAAGGAGTAACAGTGTGATGGTAAAGGAGTAACAGTGTGATGGTAAAGGAGTGACAGTGTGATGGTAAAGGAGTAACAGTGTGATGGTAAAGGAGTAACAGTGTGATGGTAAAGGAGTAACAGTGTGATGGTAAAGGAGTGACAGTGTGATGGTAAAGGAGTGACAGTGTGATGGTAAAGGAGTAACAGTGTGATGGTAAAGGAGTGAAGTGTGATGGTAAAGGAGTGACAGTGTGATGGTAGAGTGACAGTGTGATGGTAGAGTGACAGTGTGATGGTAAAGGAGTGACAGTGTGATGGTAAAGGAGTGACAGTGTGATTGTAAAGGTTGGCTAGACAACGTTTATCTCGGATTTTGTCTCTTCAGTAAAAAGCCGATATTCCTCAACAGTTTCTGTAGTTAAGGAAGTGTCAAGTTGTGTGGGAGAGGAAGATGGAGCAAAGATTTTGAGAGCTTCCAAGATGGGCAATAAGAGAAAGTAGTGATCTCCTGGGATGAAGGAACGTGGACAGGGACATGGGAAGGAGGATTTGTACTGGTATGTGAGAGCAGATGTATTTCCTCAACTGTCGCAGATGAGGGAGAAGTTAAGGGGCAGGACACGGCAGTAGGGAGAGTTAAGTATAAACGAGCAGCAGGTTGGAAGGGAGCTTTGGTGACTGGTGAAATTCTGTGTCCTTGAGATTTTGGAGCAAGAGTTGAAGGACCAGCTGAGAAAGGCTCTGTGGGTGAAGAAACATGAGAAAAGGAAGAGAACGAAGTAGTATGAATGGGAATGTGTGAGCAAGTAGGAACATCAGAGTTTAGAACTTCACAAGGGTCGACACAAGGATGACTGTGGAAGAAGGGACAACAGGGTGTTGTGGGCAGCAGGTAGCTCTGAAGTATAAGATACATAGAAGACTTCCTTGGAGATGGAGCTGAACCACCACATGATGTATGAGAGGCTCTCCAATTCTTTGAGACAGCAGATTTCACTTGTAGAAAAACTGGTCAACAACAGGACTGTGCTGGATTCACTTCTCTATAGTTAGGTCAAGTAGGGGAAGAGGGGCAGGGGATGGCTGCAGGATTGATTATAATGATCAGCTGTACCACAGACTGGACTTTCTGCCGGTGGTCTCTTATATTTGGCCAGGTGGCCGAAGAATCAGCAGTTTTTGCATTGTCGAGATGCTGGGTGCAGCTCCCGTACATGTTAGCACTGACCGCTATATAAACCAAAGATGGAAGTTCCTGGCAATCAAACGTCAGTTTGGCAACACTGCTCGAATAATGTCTCCGACCTCGAGCATGGCAAACCTACAGTGCGAGTCACGGCATTATGCCGCCCCTCCCCCACACACGTCCCAAAACACAAACACATACCATGAAAGGTTATAATATATATATTTGCACACTTACTGAGGTTTTAATACTTGGTGCTGCATCCTTTACACTTAATCACGTCCCTCAGCCATGTAGGAAGACTCTCACACAAATTCTTGAGGATTTGGGGAGGTATATTATTCGATGTCTCATGTAGAGCAGCCTCCAGCCGCAGGATGGAACTGATATCCTTGCCCAGTAAACTCTGTTTCACTACTGACCAGAGGTTCTCAATAGGGTTTAGGTCTGGGGAATTGCCTGGCCAGTCATTAACGAACCTCACTTCACAGTCCCTAAGCCACTGAACTACAGATTTGGCGGTATGACACGGTGCACCATCCTGCATAACTACCGTAGCCCCACACTTGTCAGATGCCTCAGGTAAATTGTCACACAATAACTCCAGGTAATTATACTGGTTCATATACTGGTTTTTGGGAAGCACAATGAATTCACCAACACTCTGAGCACTGAAACACCCCCAAACCATGAGCGAGTCTGGATGTTTGGTGGTTCCACAGGTGTAGCGTGGGTCTAGCAGGTCACTACCTCTGGGTCGGTACACATGTCCTCCAGGTTACAGATAATGGTGAAGGTTGCTTCATCATTCCAAAGTACTTCACACCACTGTTGAGGATTCCAGTGATGATATTTCTTTGCATAATCCAGACTATGTTTCTTCTGTGGCTTGGAGAGGATCAGTTTCTTAACCTGGTGGTGACTACTGTAGCCCAGTTCTGACATATGTCTGTTAACAGTTCTTACAGACACCTCTGAGAGAAGATGTGGGTTCTTTTCTTTCAATTCTCTAGCACTTATCTTAGGTGCATTCTCTAACTGCTTCTTTAACACAGTTAAGGTACGAACAGATGTCTTCTTCGAAGGGCCAGGCCGAGGTTTGGCTGATGGCAACTCGACACCGTAGCCCCAAAACCAAAGGGAACACAGGACAAAAGATGGGGCGGATGAGAGACAAAAATGCAACACTTCCTCTCACCATGGCAGCAACGTGAACACTGAGGAGTCACTGTGGAGTGTTGCAGAAGGCCGTGACATCATGCTAACGGCTGCTATCCGGCATAATGCACTGACGAAAAAAGACCCCCAGTAAGATAGGCCTTTGATTTTTGTCACGGCATTATGCCAGGGCGCTCACCCAGAATAATGCCGTGACTAGCACTGTAAGTTTCCACCTTGGTGACAGGGAGATTTTGGAGCTCAAATTGCTTCTGAATGTCCTGGTCGTATTCCATAAATTATTACTGTATCTTAATGTGCTGGATGAAGACTAAAGGAACTCTAATTCAGGAAGGAATGTCTGTGGACTGTGACAGGGGTGTTGTCGACAGACAAGATATGGGAAAGGTTGTCGACCTTACAGTAATCTGTACAACGATAATACACATCTCACTCCTGAAAGCATGGAAGGATATATTTAAACCACCATTTCTTATGAGTGCCTTATTAATACTGTTGTTATTAAGGCAAACATTACGTGTCGATGGCTGAAAGGTAGATAATTTTGTCCAGGATTGCCTTTGAAATGTATCACATAGGGAAAGAGGTTTCCAGGTAGCGTGTTTCATAGGATCTGAGTGAGGAGTGTCAGCACAATTGTGTCAGGATCATCTACTGTGTCGAGGTTGCTGAGATGATGGATTCAGAGCAGTCTGTCCTGTGAAACGCAACCAGTTCAAAAATCAATGCAGCATCGAGGGAGAAACCACAAGCACGAAAGGAGAGCAGAAGTCAGAGTTGTCAAACGGATCAGGACAAACGCCAGTACTGGAAGTAAGCGACGA